AAGAGGCCTTTCCAAGTTACTTTAAAATTCAGGAGCCGTATTACTGCATCTTCCCATCTTAAGGTTGTGACACACCATGCTGACTTTGGGGGATTGTCCAGGCCGTTGTTCAGTGTCTGTCCTCTCAGATGTCTGTAGCGCAAGACTGTAATTCAGCCCATCATAAATATATGATGCGTGCTTTTCCTCTCAATAACGAAATAAACACGACAAAAACTAACAGTGGTGAGAAAGCAGCAGTTAAGAACACATCTTATTACAGCGATGTGAAAGTTGCAGGAGCTCTACAGTTCAGCACTCCAGTAAAGTCCGGTCATGTCACGTTTATTTATATAGTATTTTATGCAATAGATAGCCTCAAATCAAGCAGCTTTACAGTATTAAACATGAAAAACCAGTGTTGCTTTCAGTTAGAATTACAACTTGATTTTCTGTTATAAAGCAGCTCTCCAGTGTTGAGCTAGCTAATGATAAAATATTTTTATTAGTGGAAAAAATAATTGATTTCATTAAAGTGATAGTTTGGTTTGCAGAGATCTGTTTTGATTATCATGACCCTATAAGGCACAGGTGTCAAACTCAGCTCCTGGATGGCCACAGCCCTGCAGAGTTTAGCTTCAACCATAATTAAACACACCTGATCCAGCTAATCAAGTCCTTCAGGCTTATTTGAAAACTACATGGTTTGTGTGTTGGAGCAGGGTTGGAACTAAACTCTTCAGGGCTGCGAGTTTGACACCCCTGCTGTAAGGTATTTTAAGAGAGATTATGTTGTGAACAAAATAGTTTATCCAAAAATAAAGCGTCTTATCACTTACCTTTATTTTGTTTCTTATCCATATGATTTACAAAAGGAGATGTTAGGCAGAATTATGTCATTCAGTTACTTTTTCATTTAGCTAATTAAATGGTGAATGAGAGAGTTTCTCTGTCTGTCATCTCATTTTGTGTGCCAAATATTTTCAAATAATTGTATAATAATTGTAATTACATAATATGATTTTCAAATTATGATTAATCGTTGTAATAATCGTTAGATTAATCGATTATCAAAATAATCACTTGTTGCAGCCCTCTTCAACACCATCGGTACTAGTCGGACTCCGTTGAACGTTAAAACGGCATTCTGTTTATTATAAGCATGCGCTGCAGTTTTGTCGTCTGCAACTTTAAATGCTTGAGCTCTTTAAAGTAGGGTGGATTCTGATCGGCTGTCAATGTTAGAACTCGAGTTAAGATGAAAGTCCCTTTAAGACAAGTAATTTCACTCTGCGGCCATCTTTGAAACACCTCTCGGGCATGCAAGTGCAACTCCTGTCTCTTTGAATGGGAAAACATCAAATTCTCCAAAACTGTTCGCCAAGCTATATATATATAAATGTTCATAAATATAAATCATAAATGTTGTTTCTTTTGCTCAAATAGCATTAAAGGGGTGGTTCATTGCGATTTCACTTTTTTAACGTTAGTTAGTGTGTAATGTTGCTGTTTGAGCATAAACAATATCTGCAAAGTTACGAAGCTGAAAGTTCAATGCAAACGGAGATATCGTCTTTTAAAATTCTGGCAGTTTAATGCCTACAAAAACGGCTGGTAGGGACTACAACAAGTTACTTCCCGGGTGCGTGAAATCACAAACCAAGATAAAACCCCGCCCTCGGGAAAAGGCAGCAAAGGGGGCGAGGCCATGCTGCGCTGCTTTAGAGAAGAGGAAGAGAAAACTAGAGGTGCACGTAAAAATCTATTC